GGAAAGGTGGCAGGAATGGAACTAGAGGTGGGATATTTGTATTCATCTCTTGGGAGAGACAAATATGAATATTGCCACCACAGGTTGCTGGGCTGACGTGACACCTCCTGCCAGCAGAGCAACCTGCCGCCCGCTTCCCTCTATCTAGGCCACCCGGGTGCCGCTGCTGGTGCCACTGACGTTTTGGGGTCGTGGTGCTTTGCAAAGAAACTTTAGCGGCTGTGGGGGGAGGAGGAGGAGAGCCTGGGGGAGGGGGTGACTGGCCTCTGTGGGGTGCCTGTGTGAACAGCGGGGGCAGGAGAAGTCCTCCCTCCCCAGGCTCCACATGGACGACAAATGAGAGCATCTTCTTCCCCCCCCCAAAAAAAGGTGGCACTCCCTGGCTCTTTGGGGCAACAGAGGGGCCAAGGAGGGAGTTGGGGAGAGTTTGGCCAGGTGAGGTGCCGTGTCCCCCCCCCAAAGTCTGGTATGTGACACCGCCTCTTTCTCTTTGCAGGTTTGGTGAGGCCGTGAACGGGAACCTGGTGGTGGGCACCCTGGCCTGGCCGTCCCCCTGGGTCATCGTCTTTGGCTCCTTCTTCTCCACCTGCGGGGCCGGGCTGCAAAGTCTGACCGGAGCCCCTCGCCTCCTGCAGGCCATCTCCCGGGATGGCATTGTGCCCTTCCTGCGGGTGAGGCTATGCTGGTTACTTGCTGCCTTGTGGTCGGGGTGGGGAGAGGAAGGGATGTCTCTCCACGGAGGGAACCCCCCCCAAGGGGCCACCTCCCCTTGTGACCTTTCAGCCCCCTCCCTCTCCAGAGCCCTGAAAGGTGGGGGGGGGCTGGAGCCTGGCCCTGCTGTACAAAGCTGGTCCTGCCTGGCTTGTTGTTTAGTCGTTTAGTCGTGTCCGACTCTTCATGACCCCACGGACTAGAGAGCATGCCAGGCCCTCCTGTCTTCCCTGGCGTGTGAGAGTTGGGTCAAAAACCTGCTTGGATTAGCCCTTGGCTTTGTGTGTGGGGTGTGTGTGTGTGTGCGTGTGCATGTGCGTGTGCGTGTGTGCATGCTGTATGGCCCCACAACACACAAGCACTAAGGCACATCTCCTCCAATTGGAACTGACAGCTCCCCCCTCCCCCTCCCCCAGAGGGACCAGCGGCTAATTTTGAATCTCACTCCCAAACTTTCCTGGGCAGTCGTTTGGTCGGGCGCCTGTGCTTGTTCTCTCCACCAAAAGAAAGAGCCGCGCCAGGTAATCGGAGGCGACGTGCCTTCCCTTGCCTGCAGTCCTGCCTCAGATGTGCTCAGGAGACCGGCAGGCAGGCGGGCAGGCGGGCAGGAGGGGGAACGGCTCCTCAGCCTAGAAACGGCACCTCACCAACAACCGCCAGGAGTCCAGCAACTGCCCTCCAGGACCCCTAAGCCGGACGGGGTGCCTTTCCGAGAGAGCACGACGCGACAGAAGGGTCCGGCTGCCCTCTGCCAAAGCTCAGGTCGGCTGGCCGGGTCTCAAACAAGGCAGGACAACTCCAGAGGTTTGGATGCCGCAAGCGAGCTCAGCTGTCATCTCCTTGTGCCCATCATCCGCACAGTCTCTTGCATGAGATGCTGAGCTGGCCTGAGAGGGCTGCTGGGGGCAGGGTGGGGGGCTCCTCTGGGCCAGCTGTGTGGGACCTTCCCTCCCTGCCCCTTCAGAAGAGGCCTGCCCTTCCATCAGATGCGAGGAGGCAGGGGTCTTGTAGCCCAGACGCCAGCTTCCCTGGGGGAGGGGGTAAGGAGGTGCCTCCAGGCAGCCCTCAGGCTATTTCCAGAAGCTGTCCCACTTCCCCATGGGGGATCCCTGGCCTCCTTGTTAGCTCTTGGGCTCTGGATCTCTTTTCAGCCAAGGGCTGTTGCACAATCAGCCCTTGTGGTTCTCATCCTGCACAGATGGGGGGGGGCGCTGAAGCCAGGGGAGGCTGTTCCGCCCTCGAGACCCTGGCCAAAGCAGCTGGCTTTCTCTTCTGAGTCCTGAGACTCCCACAGCCAACCTTTGGGAAGTCCCCCCTCCCAAATCTGCCTGCTATTGCCACGGAGATCCCTTTTTCTCAGAGGTTCAGAGGCCAGCGGCTCAGATCCTGCCTCTCTGGGAGGAGGTGGACCTGATGGCCGCTGGGGAGCCTCCCAACTCTGTAAGGGCCTCCCCCTCCTACAAGGAAGGCTGGCACAAAGAGGCAACAACCAGGCAGACATTTCCGCCCCCCTCCCGCCCCCAAGAAAGTTTCAGGAGAAATTCGAGGGCCATCCTGCCAAGGAAGGGGATTGGAGGGGCTTCCAGGTTTAGGCCTGCCTGGATCCCAATTCTGTGCTGCCCCTGCCCCCCTCCCCCCCTCCATCTTGGGGCTCCATCACTTCTCTCTCTCTGAAGAAGACCCCAAGAGGGTGGGCTCTGGGCCAGGCCAGCGTCCTGAATGCCGCACAGCGAACCAGATGCGCCAGAGAGAGGGACTCCCATAAGCAGAACACAGGTGCCCCCCCACCTGCCCTCTCCTCTCACCTTTCCCATCAGCCATCAGAGGGACCGGCTCCTCTGATCCGAGCCAGCCACAGGCTCTTCGCTGGCTCCTGGAGGGGGAGGCCAAGCCCTTTGGGGACACCTTTTGGGGCAACTCCTACCTCCATGACTCACCCACTCGCCCAGCCCTTCTGGGGCCATTGGGAGCCGAGGACCTGCCTTCGGGCAAGGGATCCGAGGGAGCCATGCACCCTGACTCCCCGAAACCTCCAGGGACCGGGTGGAGGAGGTGCGGAGATCCCTGCCGGGATCCTTTCTCTGGCTGTGCTCGTTCTACCACCCACCACCCACCCATCCACCAGAGCCCCCCTCATTCGTTTGCTGGGAGAAAGAGCCGCCAGGGCTGTTGGGCAGGTGGGTGGGCAGGTAAGGGCGCCCCTCGTTCTGGAGCCAGCCTACAGGGACACCCCCCCCCTTGGGCAGCTTCAGGCAGGAGGGCAGAACTCGAGAAAAGGAGCCGAAGGCAGGGAGGTCATCAGCCCCTTGCGAGCGGTTCTCTGGGATCCACCAGCAGAGAGAGAGAGAGAGAGAGATGGAGATTTTTTTTATTCTCTGTTGCTTTTGGTTGCTGATCTGATGATGACAGCAGCCTGCCTGCCTTCCGATGCACGGTTACGCCCAGCAGGCTCCTGACCTGATTTTCTTTCTCCAGGAGCTACACCGCTCGCTCTGCTGGGTGGTTGCCACAGAGCCAGAAAAGATTCCTCTCGTCTGTCTTTGCACGGCTGCTCCCGTTTCTCTTTCTTTTCTCTTCTGTAGCCCTCGCGTCTCCCCAGGACGTTACGGCCCATCAGGCCCTGGGGATGGGGGAGGGCAGCATCTCCTGCCATGGGCACCTTTGGGCTGCTCTTCCTTGAAGGCTCAGGGTTCGACTCTTGCTCTCATTCTTCCCTGTTTCCTCCCCCCCCCAACAACCCTGGCAAAGCTCTGGTGCCTCCCAGGCATGGGCAGCCCCCCTGACGGTGCGTGGGTGAAGCCTGCCACGTCCTTCGGGCATTCCTCTTACCTGCCGGAGCTCCCTCTTTGTCTCCACATCTGCCGAAGAGCAACAATTGGCCTTCCCAGAGCCCTGCGAGGCGGGCTGCCACCAAGCCCAGGCAGTGGTTGTTCTGTAAGGAAATCACGGCGGTCTTGATCGCCTCTGCTCGGCCCTTTCCGTCTTTTGCCTCTAGAACAAGTCAGACCAGGACTTTCTCTGGCGGGCATCTCTCAGGCCAGGCTGCATCCCCGATGGTGCTGATTGAGCCCGGCTGCCTCGCCACCTCTTGCTCCAGAGCTAGGAAGGCAGCGAAAGCAGGACGGCCCCCTCTTGCTTTGGGGGGCTTCCTTCCTCTGCCCCTTCCCTCCTTTCTTGAGGGTCCGGCCTGTCCCTCGCTCTCCTTTCGGCCCCTGTGGTTTAGCGGGAGGGCGCCAAAACTGAGCATTGCCAGGGCCGAAGCAAAGCTTTAGAAGGAGCATCACGAGAGCTTTGCAGAGCCTGGGGGGGTCTTGTTCTCGATGAGGACCCAGGAACTCACAAGGAGCCAGGCCAATAGCAATGGACCCACACACACCATACCCACACCCACGTACCCTGGACCTCCTATATTGACAGGCCTGGATGCCCAGGAGAGGTGCAGCAGTGAGGTGCCACTTTGCCCCCATTGCACACTGAACGAAGCGTTTGGCTACTGATGCCGGCTTCCTGAGGGCAAGCTGGGGCCCGGCCCGGGGGGGGGTTCCTCTGCCTCCACCTTCCAGCAGGCTGGAACCCAACCCTCCCTGCTCTTGCTCCTGGCAACTGAACTCCTCTTGAGTGTCCTCTCTGAGGCAGTCCAGTCCTGGGCCGGCCGGCTGCCCTTCAGGTGTCCACTGGAAGTAGCTGGGCTGGTCAGCAGATGCTGGAGCCGCCTCCCCCCCACTTCTCAGCATGTCCTGCAAAGTGCCCTCTCCTCAGTCACAAGTGAATTCACAAGCTCCTTTCTCCCCCCCCCCCCCCAAGGTGTTTCCACACTCTCACGCTTCTCCTGAGATGCTGGGAGGCTCACCCTCTGCCCGAGCGGCTTCCTGAACCACGGTGGTGGCATGGAGGGGCCGGGGGGGGCTGAGGAGGGAGCGGCTGCAGGGGAGATGGCCGAAGCCCACTGGCACGCTTGCGCCCAGAACTCCCCTCTCCTGCTTCCCCCCTCTGTCCCTGGCTAGGCTGTGCGCCCCAAATTCCTCCCAACGCCAGCACCGCTGTGGGGCTTGGGGCCCTCGCCAGTTCTTCCCAGGTCCCCGCGATCCGGGCACATCCTGGGGGTTCTGCCGTGGGATGCTCTCCAAGCCTCGGCCCGTGAAGGAGGGTGGGGTGGGGCAGGCAGGCAGGCAGGGAGCCCAGCGGAGGAGCCCGGCCAGGGTTTCACTCAACCCGGGGAAGGTTGGTGCCTGTTCTTCAAAAGCCCTTCAGTGGCATCGGGGTGGGGGGTGGGGGCAGGTGCCAAGGGCAGCATGACCTGCGCGTCCCCTCCGGCCACTCTCTTGAGTCTCTCCTCCTCCTCTCTCTTGTGTTCCTGCAGGTCTTTGGCCACGGGAAGGCCAACGGGGAGCCCACGTGGGCCCTTCTGCTGACCGCCTGCATCTGTGAAATCGGGATCCTCATTGCCTCCCTGGACGAGGTGGCCCCCATCCTCTCCATGTACGACCCCCACCACCACCACCGCCGCCTCCCAGAAAAGGCCAGCCTGGGGCAGCACAGGAGGGAACACCGCAGGGCCCCCCTCACCCGAGCAGGGCCTTTCCAGGAGCCCCCCCCTAAAAAAGTGCAGCTCCTGCCCCTCCCCTGAGGGACTCCTGCCCTGGCTGGGAAGGGGCTCCGTCCAACAGCCCTCTCTCCCCAGAGCTCAGGGGTCACTTGTGCCTCTCCAGCCAGGAGACCTGCCAAGGGCCAAGGGGAGGGGGACAGAGGTCAAGCCCCTTCCTTCCTTCCTTCCTTCCGTCCAACTCTCTCCCCAGAGCTCAGGGGTCACTTGTGCCTCTCCAGCCAGGAGACCTGCCAAGGGCCAAGGGGAGGGGGACAGAGGTCAAGCCCCTTCCTTCCTTCCTTCCTTCCGTTCCGTCTTCCTTCCTTCAAACTGCCGTGGATTGAGCTGACTTCTTGGCCTGCCACAGGTCTTTCTTACACATTACATAGTGAAAGTCAGAATGAGGGAAGGTGAGCCTTTTCCCATGAGCTTCAGTGCAAAAATACATCCCCCTGGGGTTTGGGAGACAAGGGTAGGTGGCATTCTGCCCCATGTAAAATGGTATTGAAAGAGCGCCCCTCTGCTTGCAAAGTGCTTTTGCACTGCCTTCGGGACCTTGTGTAGGTGGCAACTGTTACAAAACGAAGCACGGAACAATTAAAACCTTTGGCCACAGTGCTGAGTCTCTTGCTTCTTCTCTTTTCTATCGAGCTAACTGCTGTCCCAACCGTGCTACTTAAGCCCGCCATCCAGGAGAAAGAAGCCAAGGAGGAGGGAAGTATTTTTAAAACAGTAATAACAAAGAGAGCAGTGGCTGGCCGCCAGTGTCCCTACAGCCCCTGTTCCTTCCCCACCTGCAAAGAGCAGGTGATGGGAGTGGAGGAGAAGGAGGTCCATTACCTTTTCATCAGAGCTTTTTCCCCCCAGAAAGGCTGGTTCTCTCCCAGATCCAAAGCCCAAACAGCCAGATAGAGCCTTATCATGATATAAAACAAGGACACCCCCCCACCGCCACCCACCCCTGCCACTGCCTCCCCCATCATCTAAAGAGACGGAAAAGGGAAGCGATTGTCCTACGGGCAGCGTTCCAAACCAGCCAGTCTCATTGGGGGGAGGGGGGTTGGAAGGAGAGAAACATCTCAAGCTGCCACCCCAAAGAGGGTCACCTCTCCCCACCACCACTCTGGCCAGAGGGCGTGCCGAGCACGGTCCGACCCACCCCTGCCACTGCCTCCCCCATCATCTAAAGAGACGGAAAAGGGAAGCGATTGTCCTACGGGCAGCGTTCAAAACCAGCCAGTCTCATTGGGGGGAGGGGGGTTGGAAGGAGAGAAACATCTCAAGCTGCCACCCCAAAGAGGGTCACCTCTCCCCACCACCACTCTGGCCAGAGGGCGTGCCGAGCACGGTCCGAAGCCTGACCAGAGCCAGGCTGAATCTCGCTGCCCTCTCCCTGCTCATCCACCTGCTTCGAGCATAAATCTGGGGCCCTTCCTGGCAGGGTGTCCCTCCCGCATCCTCCACTGATGCTCCAGAGCAAGAAAGGCGGAGCTTCCAGCATCTTTCTCTCTCCCTCCCCACCCCCAACGCGGTCAGTCTGCAGGACCTCAGGGTAGGAGAAGAGGTGGGGGTGATTGTGGATGCTTTCCCTGATATTTCACGTGGTCTCTTCCAGGGCAGAGAAGGAGTGGGGAGATGGGATACGTGGCCTCTCACTCAGCGCAGCCCGTTACGCGCTCTTACGCCTGGAGGAAGGGCCCCCCCACACAAAGAACTGGAGGTGAGTGCGGAGACCTCATGTGTGTGTGTGTGTGTGTGCCCACCTCTGTGTGTGTGTGTGTTGGAGGGTGGGGCATATTTAGCAGGTGACACGAGCTACAGGAGCGAACACCTGGGTGGAAAGGGGGGGCCAACAGTAGCAGGGGTAGGGGGCAGCCTCTGAGCACCAGAGATGGGTGACCCTGGGCACCTTGGGCCACACGTCACAGGAGGCAGGTTCTGCCTCTGCTGCGCTCACCATTTGCACGGGGAGGAGGGCTCCTGGGTGTCTCCACCGGGACGGGCGTGTCTTAGAATCTGGTGCCAAAAAGCAGCTGGAGTCTCTGACGGGTGAAAACGAGATGCCTCTGCGCCGTGGACTTATCTTCTGCTCCAGTGGAAGGAGCGCACAGCCAGTGCCCGGGGGGCTCCGAATTAGGCACCCTCTGGACTCTGCCAATGCCCTCGGTGAGGCAGGCCCTCGTTCGGGCCCTTCCCGACACCTCCCATCTGGAAAGAGCTGCTGGGATTCCCACAGTAGGTCCCAGATCACATCCGCGTGCAAAGTCTGTCACATCCAGGGCACGTCAGAGTGGAGATGGGGCTTCTTTGATCCCTCTTGCAAGGAAGATAGAGCATGAGGGCAAGGGTGCACGCACGCACGCACGCACGCACGCACGCACACGCGCCACAAGGCACGTGGGACAGAGAAGCAGCGGCCAGAGAGCAGGCCATGGGGGTGCGGGTGGGGGTGGGGCACCAACCTTGGCGGCAGTGAAGTTCCAGACGGAGTTCCAGATGAGTAACTTCCAGGGCAAATCCAACCCCCGCCTCGCCACCCCACCACCTGCTGCTTTGCTCAAGATGGCCCCTGGGCTCAGCTGCACGTACCATGCATTTGTGGTGGTGGAAAAGGAGGAGGCACGAAGGGACAAGAGGCCAGCAGAAGCTTTTTGGGGGCTCAGCTTTTTTGAGGGGCACAGGGAGAGGGGCCGAGGGCTGGCCAGGAAGGGAGCCGCGAGGAAGAGCAGGGCTTTGGGGAAGTTGGTGGGCCTTTGGCCACTGGACGTCTTTCCTGTTCGCTTCTTCAGTCTGAGGAGAGTCGGCCGGAGACCCCGGATGTCTGGTCCAGGTTGGTTTCACTTCCCCCTGGTCTGAATAGGGACTTCTGCAGGCCTTCTCCACCTACCTGTTCTCATGGGCCCTTAACCCTGCTCTTTCTGGTGGGCGTGGTCCTGATCTTTCTGGGGAGGGATGAAAGGGCACCAGGGGGAAGGGAAACCAACGTGGAGGGTGGAGGGTCTGTCCGGGGTCTCCTACCAACTCTCCTCAGACTGAAGAAGCAGCGGAAGGTTTCAACCTTTCAAGAAAGACGTCCAGTGGCCAAGGACTCGCCTGCCAGATAACCTCACCTGGGGGAGTGAGCATCTTCGCAGATAGGTTGTGTCCTTGTGTGGGGCGTCTATCTCTGTGTGTGTTGGGAGGTGGCAGTTCTCAAGACCTCCCAGCTCACATGGCCTGCTTGGAGGGGGGGGGTCTGCTTTTGGTAGTTGCAGTGTCTCCGTCCCACTCACTTTCCAGAGCCTGGTGGGGAGGGGGGGGAACCAGGCAGGGAGAAGATTTTCAAAGTGCTGGAAAAACCCCCATTGGCAACACAGCATGGCAGGGCGGAGATGGGGGAAGGAAGGAGACCCCAGAGGAAAGAGGGCTTCCTCTCGCCTCCACAGGCCACAGATCCTGGTTCTCGTCCGCGTGGATCAGGACCAGAATGTGGTCCACCCGCAGCTGCTGTCATTCACCAATCAGCTGAAGGCTGGCAAGGGCCTGACCATCGTGGGCTCGGTGCTGGAAGGAACCTTCCTGGACAACCAGCCGCAGGTCCAGCGGGCCGAGGAGGTCAGTGGAGGCATCCCTGGGAAGCTGCAGTGCTCTCTCTCTCTCTCTCTCTCTCTCTCTTCTCTTCCCCCCTTTTCACAGCTGGGCTGACCTTCCAGAGCTCTTGTGAAGCTGAGGCCAGCCACGGGCAGGCAGGGCAAAGTCCACGCTCCATCCCAAAGTGGGTGGTAGGGGGTCCCTTGCAGCTCACTTTCCCTGGGGCTGTGGCGATGGGGTGACCATCGGGGCCAAAGGAATGGCCAAAAATAGGGCCCTCTCTGAGTTGAAAGTTCTTCCTGCCAAGAAGCAAACTCTGGCCTTTTAAAAGGCAGGGGTGGGAGAGCAAGCGCAGGCTCCTGCTGAGAAAACGCCCATGGGGGCTGGACCCATCGGGCAGGGACTGGGCCGTGGGCCCCCGCTGCGTCGGGTCATTTTTCTTGGGACCTCCACTCTAACTGACTGTCCTCTGCACTCCCCCCTCTCCCCCCGCCCGCCTGCCTGCAGTCCCTCCGCCGGCTGATGGAGGCCGAGAAGGTCAAGGGCTTCTGCCAAGTGGTGACCTCCGCCAGCGTCCGGGATGGCCTCTCCCACCTCATGCAGTCCAGCGGCCTCGGCGGCCTCCAGCACAACACGGTGCTTGTGGGATGGCCCCGCAACTGGCGCACCAAGGAGGACCACCAGACCTGGAGGAACTTCATCGGTAGGAGATGCTCCTGCCGCTGGGGGAGGCGGGTGGGAGGGTGGCCGCTGGGGCAGGAAGAAGGAATGGGGAGGGGCTGGAAGGGGAGCCCCCCCAGCACAGGGTCTCTTCTGCGCCAGAAACGGGGGTCTGTGAGGTGACTGGGGAGAGGTCCCACATGGTCTTGCCCTCCCCCCCCAAACACCCCTTCCTACCTTTGGGGCTTCTCTGGAGCTGAACAGGAAGATGGAGGCAGTCCCAGGACCCCCTGAAGCTGTGGGGCAGACGGGAACGGGAACCGCCCTCCACTCCCCTTCTTCTGTCCATCCCATTGACGACCTTCCATGGCGTCCTCCTGAGCTCTTTGCACAGATCCTGGAGGTGCCACAAATGGAATCATAAATGGGACTGAGGGGAAAGAGGACACACACACACACACACACATGGCCATGTCTGGAGAGCCGTGACCTTTCCTTCACTGGACACAGGGAGCTGGGTGACCCTCCCCTGCTCGGGGCTGGGGGGGGAGAAGGGTCTTAGCTGGGGATTTCCAGCTTCACCAGCAGGTTGGATGTGGTGGCGGCCCTCGGGGCTCCATCCAGACTCACAATCTAGGGTGCTGTGATTCCATGCGTACAAGGAGGGGGCCGCTGTCCATGGAGTCTAGGCCACCCTCCGTGGCCGGTAGCCCCTTGAGCCCCTCCCTGCTGAACACAAAAGCCCCCTCCCCCCCCCATTTACCACTCTGGGATCACAATTCAGTCCACTTGCCTAAGAGTTGCCACCGTGCAAGCGGAGGGTGGGTTTTCATCAGGATGCTCACCGTTTGTGCGGTGGGAGGGGGTCATTTGTACCATCCCGCATGACTGGGGTGGGCAGGACTTTCGGCTCAGCGGAGTCTCCACAGGGATGCTGGTCTGCGTCTGGGCCTCGGTGGCATCTTGGGGTCTTTGCTCCTTTTTGATGGTCACCGTCCCTGGTCCCGATCTTGAGTCCGATGCTTCTTTGTGTCTGCCCCGCAGAACTGGTGCGCGAGACCACGGCTGGTCACATGGCGTTGCTGGTGGCGAAGAATGTGGCCATGTTCCCCGCCAACACAGAGCGCTTCTCCGAGGGCCACATTGACGTCTGGTGGATTGTCCACGATGGAGGGATGCTGATGCTGCTCCCTTTCCTCCTGCGCCAGCACAAGGTACATTCGGGAGGGTTGGGGGGGGAGAGGAGGCAGCCGGACACTCGGGCCCCTCGTGCGTTGGGTGTCCTGGAACACATCCACCCGGGAAGCAGCTGCTGGCTCCAAACCCAAAGGGCCTCCATGGCCAGCTTTCGAAAGCCAGCGTGTCCTGCGGCCCTGAGGCAGGAACACACCTTCCGTTTGGCATCTCCTCAGCCTTTGACAGGCGCGCCTGCCCCTTTTCCTCCCATGCAGGTTTGGCGCAAATGCAAGATGCGGATCTTCACCGTAGCCCAGATGGACGACAACAGCATCCAGATGAAGAAGGATCTGACCACTTTCCTGTACCACCTGCGCATCAATGCTGAAGTGGAAGTTGTGGAGATGGTGAGAGGCCGTGGGGAGGGGGGGCTTTGTGCTGGCGGGGCGCACGTTTCAGGCACAGGGGCATCCCCCATCCCCCCCAAGCCTCCTGTGAGTGGGGAGAATTCTGGGTGGGGGGGAAGGTGGTCCGTGTCTCCCTGTCCCTGCCAGAGAAGAGTCAGTGGAATCACACCTTGCTTTGCCATCCCTCCCCCTTCCCGCCCCCACTGCCTTGCATGGCAAACGTGAAAATGTGCCTGTGTGTGTGTGTGTGTGATACCACACCCGAACGACACACATACAAACACTTTTCAGCTGTTGTGAAACAACACACTCAGAAATTGCTGACCCATTTCCAGGAGCTGCTTAAGATGACGATGGAAGCTATACTTTGGGGGGGGGCAGTGTTCTCTTAGCATGTGACAGCAGTGTGTTTAGTTACAAAATACTGCAGGAGGAAAGAGGGGAAAAGATGAGAAAACTGAAAAGCATATCAGGAAGGGGCACAACGTTATTGAGAGGGAAATCTCCCCATTCCTCAAAGGAAAGAAACTCTTCTCCTGCCAAAGGTCTCTACCAGATTGACTACTGCAGTGCTGTATATGTGGGGTGTCCCTTGAGGCTGACCCAGAGATGAAAGGTCCAGAGTGAGGCGGCCATGCTGGTGGCTGGTGTGAGCAGGTGTGATCGCATCTCCCTCCTTCTGGCCCACCTGCAGTGGTTGCCTTTTGTGTCCTGCATCAGGTTCAAGGTTTAGATGCCCACATTGAAAGCCCTCCATGGTTTGGAACTGTGGTACTTGTCACAGAGCCTTTACCAAACATCACCCACCCTCTCCACCAGATGCTCCACAAATTAAATACATATATAAACCTCCGCCTCCAACCCACATCACTGGCTCTCTGGCCACCTTCCAGCCTGCCCTGGCCAAGCACAGGCTCTGACCGCCCTCCTCTTCCTCCTTTGACCCCCAGCATGAGAGCGACATCTCCGCCTACACCTATGAGAAGACGCTGGTCATGGAGCAGAGGTCCCAGATCCTCAAGCAGATGCACCTCACCAAGACAGAGCGGGAGCGGGAGGTAAGGCCCGGCTTTGCGACAGACAGCCGAGGGAAGTTCGGAAGGAGTGCGAGGAGAGCACTCCTCCTGCATAAGGCGCACCTTCCTTTCCACCACTCAGGCATGAAGGAGAAGGAGATCTTGGCCCTTGGCTGCTGGGGTGTGTGTGGGGGGTGTGGGGGCTCCTGTTTCTCCTCCTCTGTGCTGGGTCAGGGGCAGGTGTACGCAATTTATTTATTTATTTATTAGATTTTTACCCCGCCCCTCTAGACAATGTCTACTTGGGGCGGCTTACATAGATAAAAACACGGCAATATAACATATATAAAATTATAAAAATTACAATTATATCAATTAATTCCAAGTCTCCACTTTTCACACCACCATTCCCCGGGGGGCAGGGGGCGGGGGGGAGGTTGCGCCTGCGCCGACAACCAGTAAAAAAGAAAAATGAAGACACAAGGTTGTGGGAGGTTTGCTTCCAGCTTTCTTTTAATAGGAACCGTGACTCCTGGAGAAGGATCTGAGGGTGTGAAAAATGGCTTTGGAGACCCCAGGGATTCTGAGCCTGTCTTGGGTGCAAAACAGAGGAAAGCTGGGGCGCCACCAGGGAGGCTGAGCCGAGGCTCTCAACCTGTGCAGCTCCTAACGCCGAGCAGAAGCCATGAGGCCATGGGAGCTGGCCCTCTAGCGAGCCACGCCCTCGTGGGCATCCGGAGCCAGGCGCAAGCAGAAGAGTCCCTGGCACAGCCCGCCTGTCTGTTTCCCCGCGGCCCTCATAGCTTTCCTCTTCTTCCCCCCCCCCCGCCTTAGATCCAGAGCATTACAGATGAGTCTCGAGGCTCCATTCGGCGCAAGAACCCAGCCAACACGCACCTCCGACTCAGCGTCCCAGATGAGCAGGTGGGCGACAATGAGGAGAAGCCTGAAGAAGAGGTAAAGAGACAGAGGGACCGGGGGGGGGGAGGGATTTGCCCAAATACCTGGGCTCAGAGGGAAAGCAGGAGGGGTGCAGTGGCCATCAGTCGGTGGAGGCAAGGAATCCCAGCCCTTAGGCAACAGACTGTAGGCAAGGAAGGCGAGGTGAGAGCTGGCCCACTTCCTTTCCTGGTAGCCCTCTCCGACCTGCTGTTCTTGGCCATCATCCTGCCCTTCGAGGGTGCTAGCTAGAGCTCCCTGGGCATGGGGGGGTCCACAAGTCATGGTGCAACATCAGTGGGGAAGAGGCTCCCCCCACCCCGGGCTGGCTGCTGCGTTGGAGGGGGGTCTGCTGCTCCTGACGGGTGTGCGCGCGTGCAGGCACACCACAGCCCCCGCCCTTCCTGACAGCCGTGGCTGCGGCTGGGTCTCTTGTCCCTCTCGCTGAGGCCCTCCTGCCTGGCCCATCAGTCTGTGAAGCGCCCCAGTGAACTGGAACCTGAGGCCTCGAGCCCCCTTCTCCCCCCCCTCCTCCTTGGAACCTGCTGGATCCATTCAGGCAGAGCGCGGGAATGTGCTCTTCACCGGTGCCCTCAGAGCAGCAGCACCCCACTGAGATGGGGCAGCAGGAAGGGAGGGGCGTCTCTCCTGCCTTAGAAGGAGCTCAGCGGGAAGTTCTCCCTGACTGACCGAGGGACGACTAAGCCAGCAGACCTCCAAAGAGCAGAGGGGAGGCAAGGGGTGACGGGTGTCCAGCCAAAGCGGAGGGAGGAGGGTTCGGGCCCCAGAACGACAGCCGCCCGGGGGTGGTGGGGGTGGGCCGGAGCAGCTGGAGGAGCAGAGAGGCCGGCCCAATCCCAACCCCCTTCCATCGCAACAGGTGCAGCTGATCCATGACAAAAACGCCACCTCGAGCAGCCCTCAGTCGCCCGGGGAGGAAACAGAGGCGGAGACCGAAGCGGCCCCCGAGAAGGTCCACCTCACGTGGACCAAGGACAAGGTGGCCGAGAAGAACAAGGCCGCCAAGAGCCCCATCAGCCCGGAAAGCATCAAAGATTTCTTCAGCATGAAGCCGTGAGTCCTCCCCGGGGTGCGCGAGAGCAGCCCCTGCCAGCCAGCGTGACCCCTGGCCCAGGTCACACACAGGGGATGTCTGGGGTGCAGGTGGCAGGTGGGTGTGGGGCTTC